ATTGTACCTTAGGCATTCAGGAGCAAGAAGCAGTACCATGCTGTGTGAAAGAAAAATATCGCAATCTGATTACCATTGCTCATTTTCTCCTTGACAATGGACAGTGTAAAGCTGTCGGATATTGGCTGCCCAGTATAATCCCTTTACGTAATTTGGTGCTTCTTCTGAAAGAATCGTATGATATCTCCTAATGGCACTATTCAACGTATGCTAAGTCGATATAGACCAGCACTCCTCTGTCGCTTTTCAGCTTAACATGTTTAACGAGCGAAGTAAGGTTCGAGTCAATTCAAATTACGTTAGAAACAGCGGCGTACCATTGAGGGTGCTACCAGGCGTGACAAAATTCTGCCAGGCAAACAACAATACATTAAGGCTATAAATAGCAGTTACCCCAAAACTTTGGAGTATTATTCCATCTTATATTCTTATTGCTGCCTGTGGATAGTGACAAATTTGTTTAGAGCTCAAAAATTACGTGTTCAGCGAATTTTCGAGATGTGATCTGTCTGATGCACGCAAGCGCGTAAACACCAGGCAGGTGCGACCTACTTTAATGGTCTCCCTTGGAGACTAGAAACAAGAACGGTACACTATTACGGTAAGACCAGCTGTGGTGATTTTTATCAGTCTTACACTACCGCAATATCTTTATAAAGTAAGGAATTTTTGCCCCACTTCTGGAAGTCATTAGTCGTAGCGAGGGCAATGAATATATGCACTTCCGTTTAAAGGAATTCGGAAGGTACACGGCATGATTAAAACAGCATTTTTATTGAAGATGAACATGGAGGTAACCTTCAACCTTCTGGCCATGTTTGTCTTAATTACTTCTTCTTATGAAAGTATGGGCAATTATGTTATTCCTGGTTACCATTATATCTCAAACCGACCGTTTAAGAATGCATGTTTTAGTTACAAGTCAGAGTGTCAGAGTATCGCGTCACAGCACGGGAGTACGGTCGAACGAATTTATTGCTGGCATGCTTTAGTTATTAACCGAAAGTATTGAGGCGGTAATTCGTCCGTTACATCTATTTGCTCATCTTAACGTAGAACGTTGACCGAGTCAACCGGCATGATAGCACTGCAGACCTACCAAGCAATTGTCAGGCAATGAAATGGTAAAGAAGACATAAGAAATTGGCCCATTTCTGCATAAGACGATGCCTTCAGCAAAACAAACATGATTGGGTTTTGCGGATAGGCCTCACAAATCCCAAGTAGCTGATAGTCCTATGGAGAGGGTGTGACTTAATTAGCATCGTACCTTCAATAGTACAAGAAAATT